TTTGCTGTGTCTTCTTAACTCCTTTATTTTATTGGCTCCTTTATTAAAGCTCGTACTTTATGCTGAAAGATTTAGTACTCACTTTTTCCTTCCTTACACCTTCCAAGAGGATTATCTATTAATCCAAATGCTGACACTCACTCATTTCCATTACAAAAATAGCCCTGATCTATAACAGGCTCCTCACTGCAACTAGGTGAGCATTTTAAAGCCAGCCTAGGAAGAAAATGATTCTCAACACTCTAGATTCCATGTTTATTATATGAGTCCTAACTATGTTTTATGCTAATGAAATTTAGCGTCAAAAGCAGTGGGCATCAGATTGAGATAAAAAACCAGCACAATAAATACAGAGCCTCTCCCCTTACTCATTCCCTCATTCAGTAAGTACTAAGCAGAAAGCACAGTGCCAGGTGCTTCCCAAACACACATGAGGATCAATCTTTTGGGAGGTTTAAATTCTGGCCGAGAATATCTGATGCATAATAATGATAATGCAGATATGATATGTGGCATAAGGAGAAATACAGAATAGAATACTTCAGAATTTAAGGAGTGGTTACTTCTGGCAGCTTGATAAAGTTGGGGACGTCTGAGCTGAGGGTCAGTTCTAGAGGTATTTCAGGTGGGAGAGATTTCACAAAGAGGGGCAGCTGGGGGGGTGTGTGGTGCAGAGCGAGTGTTCAGTTTGGATCAGGGATCCACCACAGTTAAGGCTGGAAGGAGCTGAGGGCTGAATGCCCTGCTGCGCAGTGGACTGTACACAGCAGGCCGAAGGGAGGCTTTAAACAGGAACTAGAATGATCTGAGAGTGAGTTCTAAGGCGATTAATCTTGGCAGTAGTAGATAAGCAGTAGATAAGACAGATTAAATGGGAGAGAGATTGGAAACTGTTTAGGAGGCTAGTGAGATAGTCTAGGGCAGCAGTAATGGGAGTCTCAAATGAAGGCGGAGGCCGGGGAAATAGAAAACGGAAGAGCGGATTCCTAAGGTCTTAGCAAAAGATCCTCAAGTCACTCTTCCTCCAGAAGCAAGAGAACATGAGGCAAATTTGTGGTTGTTGTTGTTGTGGTTGTTGTTGTTTTGGTCCACTATTAAATCACATTCACTGTTATCTGAAGGTAAATTTTTTACTGCATGATTCAAGAATGTGGCAGTGTCACAATATTCCCTAACTGTTTTCTGGGTGTTTTCAAATGTATAAAACCCACAACACTGTGACTTTTAAAGTGTTGTCCAGTTTTTAAGTAAGAATTTTAATTGAAGAAATAAAACATACACAGGGCAAAATACCAAACAGTACACAGTGATACGTGAAATGAAAACCCTTCTTTATCTAAGAGCCTCTGTCCGTATTTGAGAGGCAACTACTGCTATTACTTTCTAAGATGTTGTTCAGAAATCGTCTATGCATTTAATAGCTTAAATACATACCTATATTCTCCTCCTCCACGTTTGGACCCAATATGCTCCCATTCTGCAATTTGATTTATTTCCCCTCTCTGCTTCCACAATGCTTTCTCTAGTAAAGTGTTTCAGTGAATCACTATTGACATTTTGGGCTGGATAATTCCTTCTGTGGGGGCTGTCCTGTGCAATGTAGATCACAGGTATATAGAAAGCCTCCCTAGCCTCTACACCCAAGATACCAGTAGCATCCCCCCGAGTTGTGACAACCAAAAAGGTCTCTAGCTATTGCCAAATATCGCCTAGAGGGCCCAATTGGCCTGGTTGAGAACCACTGCACCAATAAGCCATTTCTATCACTCTTCATTTTACCAGATCCAGCTGTTTATGTCTTTCTCCCCACAAGTCTGTATACTTCTTTGGAGCAGGTATATTAATCATCTCTTTATCTTTATGACATAGTACTTTGCTCACACTATCTGCCTCACATAGAGTTGTTACATGAAAGAAATAGACATAGCATTGAATATAATTAATGTTATATCTTAAAGACCATGAATTAATGTTATATTCTCATTAAGGTAGAAAGTAATAACAAAGGAATAGATGCTAATAATTTTCCTTGGTACCGTGGGGGTTACTGAGTGCCAAAGACATTTTAATCACTTTTTGGAGAAGCAACCACTTTACAGGTGACAAGAATACCAACCATGTAAGGGTGACTCTATGGAGCCCAAATAAATGATGCAGGGATCAAATAATATTGAATTTAGAGGAAGCACAGAGGCAAGCCTTGTCGTTGTGCCACTGGACAGTTTTTGAATGAATGATTTCTCCATTAGTGTGCGAGAAGGCAGGGGGAGAGAGAATAAAGGATGTATTGGTTGGGGCAACTGACATTCAGCGGCTATGAAGACTCTGTCGAAGCTAGGAATTGAAGAATTGAAGATTTCTGATTGAAAGCCTGAGGTACTGACTTTAGGTCTTTCATCAAGTTATTCTGAAGACCTGAACTGGGGAGTGGAGGGGGATGGCTAATTCGGGATTTTTTTCCTGATGTTATAAGGAGTATATATTCCAAGAAATGCAATGTGTACGGTGGCCCCATGGAAACCTCTTTTCTCCTTCCTCCCCTCGTTTTATCCTTCAGTGAACATCTACTGTCTGCCAAGTATGTGGCAGCCCCGTGCAGGGTATGGGAAATGCAGCTGTGAGCAGGACGCTGGGAAGGATTCAGTTCTGACGGAGGTTTGATCAAACAGTCACTTCACATACATATGATATGAACTCTGAAAGATCCTACTGTTATTTCTAGTCTCCATACCACCTGCATTCATAATGTACATCTATGTTCTATTGTCTCTGTACACAGTAAAGGCAATTATTACCTTATACAGCTTCCAGATTTGTCAAAAATATTAAGCTACACTGACCTTAATAATTGATTTGCCACTGCAGTGCTACTCCACCAGGACTGAAAAGCAGCACATATTCTATTTGTGTGCAATAACAGCCTAGATGTTTGGGTGAGACAGTGAGGAATGAATCTCTAATCAAACTGAAAACAGAGCTATGGTCAGAAAGCAGCATGTAATTATCCAGTTGGAATTTGGCCAATATAGTAGATAGATTCTCTTAGTTCCTAAGGAAGGGAGCATAAGAACTTTATTTTAAAAATTTTAAAAAATATTTTCTTGCTGTTGTGAAGTTGTTTTTATTGTTGTTCAATTACAGTTGTCTCCATTTGCCCCCCCATTGCTCTCCTCTGCCCCACGCACCCCCCCACTACATTCAACCCTCCCCCTGCGCTGTCCTTGTCCATGGGTCCTTTATACATGCTCCTTGACTCGACCCTTCCTCTTCTGTCCATTCATTTTTAGAGAGAGAGGAAGAGAAGGTGAAAGAGAGGGAGAGAAACATCAATGTAAGAGAGAAACATGGATCAGCTGCTTCTCCTACGTGCCCTGACCTGGGACTGAACCCGCAACCCAGGTATATGAATTGAACCACTGACCTTTTGCCTTGTGGGATGTTGTCCAACCAACTGAGCCGCACAGGGCAAGGCTAGAGCATAAGAACTTTAACTTATACTATGCTTGAACCATGAATGTATTTCTGACTCAGGTTCAAAGGTACCCATTACCTTGGGAATCTTCACCAGTGCTACTTTCTTAACAATCTCACTGAAGAGTTCAGAGCCTCAGTTGTTGGATGTGAGCCATGAAAACCTTAACTCGGGAAAATTCACTTCTTTTGTGTCAACAGAAACACTTACATAGTAGTTATTTAGAAAATCTCTATTACTGTTTTGTCATGTAGGCTCTCTAAGTAAGGGGTAGAAGATATGGTATCAGATACATCAATATCATCTCACTGCTGGAAGCGAGGTGCTGCTTAGGAAACAATCTGCCCAATCGTCAACCTGGGAGGGCAAGGCTTTTTTTATTGTAGACTCCTTGAGCATTTATTGAAAGTGATGAATGTGCTATCTCCTCCCTGGCGTGTTCTCTCTCCCCTCCCCCCGCGCTCCCGCCCCCCGCTGTGAATGCACACCCGAATGCAGTCCCAGAGACCAGGGCTTCTACTTCTCTGAATTCAGTCCATGGGCCCTGACACTCCAGGTGTAGAAACTCTTACTTGGTCAGCTTGATTTTCTATATTTTGCTACTTCAGAGAAGAAAACTAAATTCTCTCCTGCAATTCATGAACTGCTAAGGGTATCTTCTATCACTTCAGCTCTCTCTAGAAGGAGAACTGGGTTCAATAAATGGCATCTAAAGAGGCCTTACATGTTGAGTTTCTTTTATCTTGATATATATTTGACTTTATCTCATCAAAAACAGATTGTTTTATTTTCTGTGTTCTAGAGAAATGATAGAAAATAATTATTATATAAACTGAGTCTCAAACTCGCAGGTAGCTTAATTCAATGATCAACATCTTAGGGTGGGTTACTTAAAAATGTTTCTAAGAAGATTTTTCATGTTCTAAGTACTTTAATGTTATTAATATGCTATGATTTTTACCTAGGGTATCTGAATCAAATATTTCAAGTGAATATTATTATCTTGGGATAGATAAACTAAATTACCCAATACCCAATGTGCCAGGTATATTTTCAAGTTGTTTATTCAAAACCAGCATTTTTGATTGAAGACTTAGAATAATATTTACATTATCTCACTGGGTATTCTTTTAAAAAGTATCTAGTTCTCACAGCTGACACTCATTTATCCTCTCTTCTTTCTTTTCTCTATGATTTATTGTTACTAGACATAATGAGGTATTCAATCAACACATTATTGAGTATCTACTCTACAAGACATTGTGTCAGATGGGATGGGAAGTTCAAAGATGTATAAGACAGGTCTTCTGGAGAATACCATCTATTATTGAAGATAAGACATGGATCAGAATAAGATAATGTTATGACTAAAGTTATAGTTTTGCTTGTAGAATTTAAGTATATTTGTCATATTTATCTGTTAACTATATTTTACCTCAGAACTCCACAATACACAGAGGATTCAACATCACCAGTTTAAAAAGCTTTTATGAAGTAACATTTTTGAAAATTAGTGTTTATTTCCTACCAGACAAGGCTGTAAAATTTGCATTTTTGCTGAAAACTTCAGTTATTCCAAGAGCCTTCAAAACATCTTTTAAATCAATTTCATGTTCCACTGTGAACCTGGAGAATACATAGGGAGGAAAATAGTTTGTTATAGCATTTTAAAAGTATTTTGTTACAGTATCTTCCCATCTGAGGTAAAAAAAAAAAAAGTTAGATATGTTGAGTTTTAAAGTCTGTTTTGGGGGAAAATTATGCTAAAGCTGGCTTTTGCTTGCAAGTAGTTTTTGATTATATTTATAAAAAGAGGAGGAGTCAAATAAAATCATATATAACAAGAGTATTACATTATTAAGTAGAAAAAATATATCATATGGACACAAAACCTTAATACATGATGGAATAAATGAGTTTTTATATCAAGAATCATTATCATAGTACTATGTAAAACTTGTAAATAATAGCACTCAAAATCTTTTAGCCTGGTAACATAGTTGCTTTTTTAAGCTGGTAATGATTAGTCATACATTTACCCAAGGTGCTTCCTTCTCGTCTTCATATTCTGGTCAACTTCTTACCCAATGGAAAACATTAAATAAGAACCAAGTTTTGCTGTAAAATGAATACATCTAGCACTTCAACTCCATACAACTCACAGAAAGGAAATATAAAAACTATCATATTAGTTAAAAAATATTTATCTTCATGATTATATTAACCTCTAGGACATAGCCTTTTCTCACAGTAGCACTCCAGAAAAGCTGTTAACCAATAAAAATTAGTTACATATTGTGTCTTAAAAACTATGCACCTTTTTCAATTATATATTTTTAAACAAGAATAGATCCTTTTTTTGTTCAAATGAATTAATATACATGATAATATGCTTTATTAACTATTATACATAAATGTGCCTTACTTTTATAAAAACTGAATACAACATTATCTAAAACTTAAATAAAAATAAGTCCATGGGTCACTAACAGAATATTAATTTTAAAAAATGGTTTCCACAGAGCCCCGGCCAGAGTGGCTCGGTTGGTTGTGTATCATCCCACAAGGCTAGAGGTCACCAGTTAGATTCCCAGTCACACATGCCTTGGTTGCGGGTTTGGCCGCCTGTCAGGGTGTATGTGAGGGGCAACGGATTGATATTTCTCTCTCCCATCAATGTCTTTTTCCCTTTCTTTCTCACTCCCTTCCCCTCTCTCTCTCTAAAAAAAAAAAGTTTCCACAGAAAGTCAAATTGTAAAATGGAATATTTCCCAAACCAATGAATTGTATCACCCATCTGACTAGTTAGAGATGTAGAAAAAACATGGCTGCATTAAAAAAAATGCATTAATGCATTTATTACAAGCAAAGGGTTTTATTACTTTCTATAAAAAAATGAAAATAAATGGTTGGAATTAAATGTGCCCCATCAATACAGATCAAAATAATACATTTTAGGCAACGGCTGTGTACTTAAAAGAGTGAAGTCTGCAATAGTCACTTAATGTTACATTAGCATCATTTCTGATGTCTGGTTTAAGAAGAGTGACAAGAGAATGATTGCTATCAATAAGACTCAGAAGCCAAGAAAAATGATTAGGAGAGAATAGGTTTAGCAGGTCTATGTTTATTAAAAAAAAAAAAAAGGCCAAAAGAGACAAGTAAATGTATAGCAAACATATTAAACTAAGTACTAAATTTTATCTATATCCTATATTTTAACTTTTATTTTTGCTCTTATTTTGTTTATTTTGCTTTTTACAAAAAGGTAATATTGCCTATGAGAGAATAAAAGGAAGATGAGTAGGAAAATATGGAATATCTTGGAGAATACATTCAATGGCTTAATTAAGGTTTGTGTGTGTGTGTGTGCGCGCGTGCGTTTTATTATTATTATTAATTTATTTTTTGATCACTTATATAGAGCTTACTATACACCCAGAACTGTTCCAAGAGAAGAAAAAAACAGATTAATTTGAATATTACCACAGCCCTTTGAAGTAGCTATCATTATAATCCTCAGTTGAAACAAGAAGAGACTTAAGGGCAGAAAGATAAAATAACTTGACAAGATCATACAGCTAAATAAATGGCAGAACAGGATTAGGGGTCCAGATAGCATGATACATATCCTGATCCACCTAAAGTAGAAAAGTAAAAGAAGATATCAGAAGTGGATTCTTTTTACTTCTTTAGAGCACCTTGGTTTGTTTCGCACTTCTGAGGCTGGTTGTTTAGGTAAAGATGGTAAATTACCTGGACTAAACTTGGATAAATTCCTTGATTTCTGAGCCTCAGTTTTGGCACACGAAAAAAATGGCAATGATAATAGTACCCATTCATAGTACTGTCGCAGGGGTAAAAAGGTTTCTAAAAGTCTTAGGATGGTCGTGGCAATGTAGCAGGTGTGCAATAAAGGGCAATACAGTTAATAGTTCTTCTTATATTGAAGTTATGGATAATATTCACATTATTATAGATGTTAAAATGTTATATTTGCATTTTAGTAGAGGTGAAGTATCTAGCTGTATTACCCCCTGCTACTTTAACTGTAAATTAGTCAAATCTAGTATTTTTTTCACTTTAACATTTGTAGTACCTGGCACAGGACAAAACACACATGATGAAGTGAAATAAAATCTAAGTGTCCATGAGAATGTTTGTTCTAAGTTAGAGACAGGATGTAAACAATCTCCATTTATTCATTCATCTTTTTCCTCATTAAACTACTGAAAAAATAGCTATTATTCATTTACGATCTCTTTCCTCTTCATATAGACTAGTATTAACATAAATAATCATTATTATCTTCCTTATACTGAGCACTTACTATGTCACAGGCACTATGCAAATCCTTTTATGTATAGTATCTCATTTAATCATCCCTATGACAATCCCTATTAGGTAGGTATTATCTCTATTCCAAAAAAGAACAAATTGAAGCCCCAAACAAGCTAAGAAACTTGCCCTAGTCACACAGCTAGTGAGTCATTGAGTGAGGATATGAATTGAGTTTTTTCTGACTGCAAAGCCCCCCAAATCTAATCACTATGATTCCAACAATGGTTTATTTAAAAACAAACAACTACAGAGGGGGGAGATAGGGGAAAGCGTGGGACATCTCTAATAGTGTCAATAATAAAAAAGGTTAAACACTGCTTTTTTAAAACCAAAAGGTATGACTGTTTGAATAAATGCATACAATGTAATGGTATATTTCCACCTTTTTATCCGAGCAGGTTGAAGAGTTATGTGGAGAACGGAAGCATCAGAGACTAGTAGACGTGTGGAGCAAATGTTAGAAAGGAACAAATACACAAGTATATTACCTTTAAGAAAATTTATAAAATTTATAAGCAATTAAGGAACAAAATAAAAAGCATTCATGGTAAAGAACAAAATCAGATGGCCTATGTATTGGTTTTCTTTACAAATGTGAAGCCGAAGTACTTTATTTGTAGACAATTATTTTAAAATAACGGCATAGTTGCCGGTTACAAGATGGAGAACGATTTTATATTTGATTTTCTCTCTGATCACAAATGACAAATCTGAGACTACAAAAGTCAGAGTGGAAACACATTCCAGCAGGTACCTCTGCCTTCTGAGTATTCAGATATTGGATTTTGAGTTTAGAAAACTCTTCCTACACATAAGCTGAATCAGTAAAAACTAAAAAGTCAGCACATACAATGAAGAGAGTAATGTTCATGAGAATCAAGTTTTTAAAACTCCAACATAGAGAAAAGTATATATAAAACTATCCATAGATTAAGATAAGATAAATACTAGTATTTAAAATGTACACTGGAAAATAAACAATAACAGTAATAATATGTAGCACTTACATGCTACTCTGTGCAGGCAGTATTCTGAAGTGCTTTCAGGATTATACATATTTTATATGTTAGCCAAACTACTTTTGCTATCATGGATAAATTGGAAGAATATCTGACAATCTTATCTGAGTACTAGAGATGTGTGACTATGCATTAACCTTATGGTATTTCACTGGATTTGGCAATATCCCATAGGTATAGCAATCCTACCCTCTCCAAAACAGACTCCTTCTATTTTGAATAATACACAACTTTAATTTATTATCTGTTTCCTATAGGATTTATTCTTTGGGGGGTGGCGGGGAATAACACAAATACAAAAGTCATTGTCCCTTCTCTTCCTCCTGCCCCCCAAATACTCTATACATCTTAAGAAAAGCATTTTAAAGCTTTTTGTATAAAATGTATAACAGAAAATAAAATACCTGTCAAACAGGACAAGAAATGGTCAAATTACAGAAATGCAAAGTTGCATTTTCAGGTAATAATTTCCGTATGAATTAAACTATAAAACTATTTAAGACAGACACTTGAGTAAATCTAGAACACAGCTATTAGAACATTTTTACCTCCGCTCAACTGGGTCACATAAGTCACTACCCTTATTGAACATTTTGAGGATGCTAATGCTATAAAATGGAGGGGGTGGGTAGTTTTCCATTGATTATTACTGACACATAAGTATTTAAAAACAGCCAATCTCTTAAAAAGAGAAACCAAATTTATCTTATCTCTCTTTCAGCCTCCCTCTCTATGCATTAGTCATGCAGAGGGAAAGTTCATAGAACTGCTGGAGTAATGGATACACAGTAATCAGCTGGGCCTAGTTTAGTAACAGGCATTAATATGAGTGAACGAGCTAAAGTACTTCATAATTGAACAGTATCTCTTAGAATATGAAAAATTAATTTTCTTCTGCTGCCACATTCAGTTTCTCAGTGGGACCTGGAGCCCACATTTTCTAGTGACTATGGTTGAATTAGAATATGTGATACTTACTAAGCATTCATTTATAATTCTGTTACAATACAAATAAGTAACTGTGTATCCTCACAAAAGTATTTGGAGATGCTGCACTTAATGCATAAAATTCAGTAAGGGAAGCATTAACATTGTACTGAATTTCTCTTTTAGCAAAAGGAATTCATTATGTAATGTAAGGAAAAATACAAAATTAATAGTAAGAGTCTGGGTGAGAGTTTAGATTTGATTTAGATAGTTATTTAAATTGAATTAGTAATGTTTAAAAGTAAATGCTTTTAGAGTTAAGATATATTATTTATATATTCAGTATGTAGGTCAATTATTTATATACATATACGTACAGGAAGTCCATCCTGAAAAAGTCCAACTATTGTTAACATAATAAGAATGGTTTGTGTGACATTGATGTAACCTGGCAGCCAAGGAGAGTGGACTGGAATGTGCATGTGTGAGAAATGACGACTTTGCTGTACTAGTCAGTGGAGGCAGTAGCATCCCTTGAGTGAGCATGTGTACTGTGTGGCTGTCACATTCAAAACGACTGAGTAAGTACAGCAACAAATGTGCATCAAAGTTTTCGTTATGCTTGAACATCCCTCCGTGGAAACTATTCACATGATTCAGAAGGCCACAGCTATGGGCAACTGGTGACTGGCAGCTTCATCATGACAATGCATCTGCATTACATTTCCTGCAGAGTCTTTTGGCAAAACATCAAATCACCCAGGTGACTCAGGCCCCATACAACTCAGATTTGATGCTCTGCAACTTCTGGCTTTTCCCAAAATTAAAACCATCTTTGAAAACGAGGAGATTTCAGACTGTCCATGAGATTCAGGAAAATACGACAGGGCAGCTGATGGTGATTTGGAGAACTGTGTGAGGTCCCAAGGTGCCTGCACTTTGAAGGGAACTGAGGCGTCATTGTCCTGTGTATAATGTTTTTTTAAATCTTATAACTCCTTCAATAGAAGTCTTTATTTTTATATTGCATGGATGGTTACCATCTGGTATTAATTATAAAATTTCCTTGGCTTTATTTCTTAGATATTCATTGGTTATCTCCCCTTGAGCACAGACTTACAGTGTAATCTTTCTACAGAAATGTGTTGTCATGGAAAGTCATGCAAACAATATTTTAGCCAAAAGGAAAAAAATACTTAGAATATGAGTACCTTAATTTTTATATGTAGACAAGGAAATGTAAGGCTATATATTATGATGGTTATACAATATGCATATGTAATATTAACATATATATATATATATATATAGTCAAAACTGTCCACAGTTCCAAATAACTCTCCATTAACATAAGTAAATATCAGCTAAGTTTTCTGAAAAATAAACTTATATAAGATATAACTTTTATATTTTTAAACATGTATTATATGATTTATTTGATATTAAACATCCAGAAAGGACAAACCTACAGAGATTTTAAAAAATAGATAGGTTAGTAGTTGCTCCTGGGATAGCAACAGGGATTAATTGTAAATGGGCATGGGGATTTTATTGGGGTGACAGAAATATTCTAAAACTTATTTTCTTCACTTAATATACTTTAGAAATCCAATTAAGTCTGTGAACTTTTAAATGGTAATTCCTAAAATTAGAATAAACATGAATGTTTAGTAGTTCAATTACAATACTGTCTTATCACCTTTCAATGTTCATATTAATTTATCATATTTGTATAATTTTCTTAATATAAAATGAATGTTAAAACTGTACTTTCACATACACGTACATATATAGGTTTATCTATTGTTTATTTTTTAATCTTTTAAAAGATTTTATTTATTTATTTTTAGAGAGAGAGGAAGGGAGGGAGAGAAACATCAATGTGTGGTTGCCTCTTGCACATCCTCTACTGGGGACCTGGCCTGCAACCCAGGCATGTGCCCTGACTGGGAATCGAACCAGTAACCCTTTGGTTCACAGGCTGGCACTCAGTCCTCTGAGCCACATCAGCCAGGACGTCTATTATTTATTTGTACGTCTTGTTTCCTAGTCTAGAACTTATGCACTGTGTTTATAAACTTGTATATGTTTATTGGTCTTGCTCCCCTACTAGGTTTTAAGTTATTAAAGGACAGAATAAATGTTTTCAGTTGAGTTTGGTTTTGCAAACACATCTCTATTATGGGGAAGAGATCTGACTTTAGAAGAACATATAGAAGTAAAGCAAGACTTATTGTACAAAAGGGTAACTTCATTGTGGGGTGGTCCTCTACATGTATTGTCACAACAGGGAGATGCATCTGTGAGGACAATGTGAGGGTCACCTGCTCCATCAGAGGGTTCATGGAAGGCTTCCTAAAACTAGCGCCAGAGCTGTACCCTGAAGGCTAAGTAAATAAATCTGGCAAAGCAATGTGAGGAGGGCATTTTAGGCCAATAGAAGGAACACACATGGAGACCCAGAGGCATGAAAAGAGCAGGATGTCTGTGGCACACCCACAAGCACACAGACAGTACATGCTACTAAATATTTAATGTGCTTAGTGGCCAGCGGCTAGGACTGAGGGAGAGAACGGCAGTCCGAACATCGAGGCCCTGCAATGGACTTGATTCTTTTGGCAACAAGGAGAAAATTTAGCTTCTTCCTGCTTATTTATGGTTGCATCTCAGCACCTAGCGCAGTGACTTGCTTGCACTTTTTCCAACACTGTCAGAGATTATTTTTGCAGCTATAACCACCTTTAAATATTAATGAAATACAAAAGACTGTCAATGTGAATTATATTCAGGGACAAGCTATTGGAAAATCTACTAGAATGAAGCTAAGAATATTGACTCATATATAAAACTAGGTGTTGGTAAATGGTACTGAACAAATTAATAAGTGAGCCCATGTCTCTGGGCAGGACCGAATGAGAATGAAAGAATACTTTTTAAAAAGGAGAAGGAGAATTAGAGGAGGAGGAAAGGGCAGAGAAAGAGGAGAGTAGCCTAAGACATAAAATTCAAAAATAATGGGAAGAGTTTTTCCAGGTCAGAATCTTCACTGCTATCCCCCCTCCGTTCTATCAGAGGGAACCACAGAGCAGCCTCTCACCTGGGCAGGTACACTTCCACTTTTTGCTTCTTCACAGAGTTTGCCCATTCTTCAATCAGCTGTGCTTTGACCAGTGGCTCCAGAGTGGCCAGTGGAACTTCCTGTCTGGACAACACCAGCATCATACTTATCTCATCTCCCTCATATGGTATTTCTAGGACTTGGTAGATACCACCAGCTTCATTGGAGCCGTCACTAAATTCCCCTAAAAAAAATAAGGGTGATAAAAGGCCCATATCAAAGCCTAAACAAAATGTTTAAATTCGTCATAACTTCTTTTTCAAAATAGTGTATAGATTATAAGAAATTTAGGTATCTGAGAAAAAAGAGTGTTTATTTAAAAAGAGACCTTGAAATTGAAATTGAATCCTAAGCCTTGCAGAATCTATTTTATTTTAGAATCCCAGAATTATTTCATGTTTGTCATAACATGTTCTCCAGACTTAGTTTTTATTTTTAAGTGAGACTTCAAATGAATATAAATTAAAAGGATATTATTAGAAACAATGAAAAGTTCTGGTTAGAAAAATAAAGTCCTGGATCCAATATTACATTTACCAATATCCGCCTGATTACTAAGAAGGGAAAAATTGACCGTGTAATACCTGGTGCTCTGTTAATATCACAGTGAAAAGTTTTGAGGCTAAGACAGCACAGCCAAAATGAAATCTATTGTGTTCTACAATAGATACCTAGTGTATTATGGTGATTATGACCTTCAAATTAGGTGATTAGGTAAATTAGATAATTGGCTTTCTGTTCCATAAACTTAACTGAATTGACTAGGCTTTCATTAAAAAGTTAGCCTTTAAGATAAGTGGTCCTGCCACAGCTTCAGGATTTTACCCATTTTTCAAAAAAAAAAAAAAAAAAAGAAAAAGTAAGCTTTTGTTGTGAATATTTTCCTGCAATTGATCTATGGCCTTTAAACATCACATTAAACATTTTGGTTCTCAAATAAATGGGTATTTTCTTTTTAGTTTTGACTATTAAATTGATTGACTGTGATTATAATCTTTTATCATTACAATATATTTTAAATAGGATAAGCTACTAGTTCTAACATACATTTAGTTTAAAATTATACTTCTGCTTATGGCAACAAACTAAGCCAGTTTAATATAGGGTATAGCAAGGATTAACACCCAAAATTTCTGAAAAGTCTAATGAAACATCTTTGAAAGTAATGCAAAGGATATTGAGCTGTATCACAAATTACAGGCTCTCAATAAATGAAACTCTGAATAAATAATTATGTTTAACCATACATACACAGGTGTGAAGGCAGAATTTCAAAAGAATGCTTGTGATTTAAAAAGTTGTAAGGAATCAAATCAAGAGCTGGGTGGAACATAAGGATCACTGAAAACCACCCAAAGCCAATGACTTTTTGTAGTAATTGAATATTCTTGCACAGGTCAGGTATTTTTATGTGAATAAAGTGACTCTGCAGGTGTGTTCAGATTTATAAATTAAAGAAACATATTGAAAAGCTGTCGATGCACATAATATTCACTCAGGATCTAATTAGAGGCTTGGAAAATGGAGCCAAGGAAATTGAATTGTACCTCAAACTAGATTGACAAGAAATTTAAGTAATGAATATTTCATGTTCTTTTTTAGAAACTTATTGATATACCTCAAAAAGGGAGAAAAGAAAGCCAAAATGTCATACCATAATAAAATTCTCCTTGTTGATACATCATTGGAATTTGGACTTCACTTTCGTCATCTTTAGTGAAGGAAAAGGTTCTAGTATTTTCAGGTCTAAACTGTGACTTCCAGTTACCCTTGAAATAGACAGCACTGATGAGGGCCAGGTGAGTGACAGAATCAAAATCTCCTGGGGATACCAAATCTTTCAACAGACCTATTCAGAAAAAGTAAATGGATGAAAATTCACATTAAAGTGGAAGAAATGGAACCAAAGATTATCAACCTACCATCTGATAGGGTATGACAGAAAACGTGTATACCATTACTAAATTTAAAATAAAATTGGAAAGTATCTTACTTTCAAAAGAAAAATGTTCACACACACAATTACAGCTTCAGGGCATCTAAAATACCCACACCACCTAAAATAACTGGTATCTTGATACTTGCACAAACTACAGAACCACATGCAACAGAATCTAAGACTTCAGCACTTTCCAGTTGCAATGATGCATGTCAAACTCTTAGCACAGAGTAAGCACTCAAACAACCTAAGTTTATTCTTGATCATTGCGCCTGATTAAAATGTTATCCAATTCAAACATGCCCCCGATATACATTGGATATCTTTCTACCAAATATAACAAATACTTTTGATGTGGTGAAAACAGACAAGTGAAACCCAATTTAACCTATGATCTATGATGTCTTTTTTTTTTTTAAGAGGGAGATGGGGGAAGGGAGAGAAACATTGATCGGGTTGCCTCTCACACGCGCCCGGACCAGGGACTGATACCTTCTTTCCTATCACGTGAAATATTCCTTGCCAAGTCTATTTTGAGAGAAACTGTGTCTGTTGATTGCTATATGTTTAAAAAGAGTTTGGAAACAAAGAGCTTTTAATAACTCAATCTATGCCAGGTAGATTATTATTCCTGATTTATTCTTTGAATGGTAAAAAAAGCATAAATTCCTTTTATCTTTCATTTTAATCTCATAATTGAAATAGTGTTTTAGTGAGGTTGACCATAGAGAAAAAGTAATATCATAGTAGAAACAATAAGACCAAATTTTGCTCTGTATCCTCTCATTTTATTAATTATACTACTTCTGTGCTTACAGAGGTGCTTCTTCAGCATTTTGAGGATTTATATGACACAAGGGTATGTCATCACGGTTTTTTGTTGTTGTTCCAACATAAAATTTATTAGATTTACATTATTTGGGGAGTTCAAAAATATGAATTAATTTAATGAGAAGGTATAGTAAATATACTTTAAATTTGGTCTCAATTTTTAATATTCTAACTTCAATTATTTTTATGGTAAAATTGGAAAATAAAATGAAAAAATATGAAACTCTTGGAAAACTCAAATATATTTAAAATATATCAATTAAAAGTAAAACTTAAAATTACTGTGTCTCTTTCTAATTTTTCTCTATTACTTTAGGCTTAAAATGGATGCTCTCTTTCAAAGGAATCCTAAACAATTTTTGATTACCCCTCAAGTTCTGTGGTTTAAAAGCTGTTTAAACATTTAAACCAACAAAAATGTTTAAACTTGACTTTTAACTTTCTTATTCTATTTTAATCAAAAGAGAGCCCACTAACTGCCGTTTCAATCAGTATCTAATTCAATCATAAGCTCAAGAAAAATTTCATACTATACAGAGAAAACCCATCAACTGAAGAGCACAGATTTCAGATCAATTTATTAGTGTCAAAATTCTGTGCATGCCAAAAGACTAAACATATTTCTCAAATGTTTACTCATAAACAATGCTCCTAAAAGCACTTTACACAAAATAATCATTAGATATTCAACTCAATGCTAGCTAATATTCAAAAAGCAAAAGGAATGAGGAGACAAATAATTTCAGAAGTAAGAGAAAGTCACAACTAAACTATTTGGGAAAGAAAAGAACCAAATGACATACTATTTGTGTTATTCTCCACCCACTTATTGATATGGTTGGCCACAGCGATATTTTGACTGAAGTCCACATGATTTACTTCCGCATTAAAATATTTTTTCATCATTTGCAAAAACTTATCATTGATGTGAAATTCGTTTTGCACAAAGAGGGAATTGGCAATTTTCATCACATACTGGCTCTTTTCAGCAGTTACCATGTTAGAAAACTCCTTCAAGAAAGAATATTCTTCACCTGCAAAATGACACAGGGTAAGTTTTTTTAATGGAACAAACATGGAGGGTGGGAGAGTAAAACACAGCTGGGGACCTAAAGGAAATGCACTCCCTCACTTGATGGTGAGGAGGGCCCATATTTGTGTGGTTTTTTAATATTCAGGTTAACATTTTTGCAGTTTAGTGTTACCAACTGATATTATTTTTCATTTTAATCAATATCTTGGTAGAATCTATAAAGTCAGATTTTCGGTTGTTTACTTTCTAAGTACTTAAGTTATTTTCACTAAATTAGTCTTATGTTTATCAGAAATAAGAATTAAGTTTAATTGTTTAGTTTAAAAATCAGGTTATTTCTTAAAATTTACTTTTACTAGACTTTTAAAAAATCTTACAACTAGGAAATCCATTAGAAATTGTTGTAATTCTTAACTTGTTAATGAGTTAACTCACATGTATGTTAGAAACATTAAAATAGAGATCTTACATCACATCAAAGTGATTACAAAATATATTTTGGCTACAAATTTTCTCCAATACATATAGTTCTCATAATAATGCAACATTTCAAAAAAGATTCTTAGGTGCTATTTAAACAATGAAGATACAATTGGTTTTAAGCAAAAAACAAATTCTAATATTCTTAGAGAATCATGTTGCTTTTCTTAATAGCATTCGTCACAGTTGTAAATTTTCATTTATTTATGTGATAATTAATGTCTTTCCCTCTAGATGGAAAATTCCATCAGCACAAAAACCATGTTTGCTTTTGTTTATAACAGTAAAGTTTATTTAAATAATAATATTATTATTAATAATAATAATATATAATTTCCTTAGATTAACTTAGCCAGAGATGGAGCCTGGAATTAACTCATTTCTGGGGTTTCCTAACGTTTCTCCTAGCCCATCTCAATGAGATTACTTTCTTACTATGTGTAAATACTGCTGCCTCTGGCTTAAGACATTATAACTGAGTTGAAAGTTAAGGTTAAACCATCCTGAGAAATCAAACCTAAGCACACTTACCATTTTTCAGGCTGTCATATCCCATTGAATGACGGACTTCTTTCAGGGTAGACCCTTGGGCCCCAAGTTCCATCATTCCCATTGCAAGGGTGACGCTCAATGGAGAGAAAAGAATATTTTCATCTTCCCCAGTAGCTCGAAGGTGATTATACATATTCACTGACAGCTCAGCAATGGTTTCATCAGGGAAAGTGGCCCCACCAGCCAAACTTTGCAGAACCAGCAAAGAGAAAAGTCCAAGGAAAGCCATGTTGGAATAGTTTCAATCCTGGAAAACAGTAATTTACATATAAATTCTCTCAGAAAAATAAAGAAAAAGAGAAATACGAGTATATATATGAATTATTTCTTAGCAAAGTTATAAAAACAAAAGATTTTTTGTTTTATTTTTATTTTTATTGTATTTTTTCATTACTATTTATCCCCCTTATACCCTTCTCCCCACCCCAGTAATCACCTCACTGTTGTCTATGTCCATGAGTCCTTTTTCATTTTTTGTTTGATTCCCCAGCCCCTAACCATCCCCCAGAGCTGTCATCCTGCTCTCTATCTTGAGTCTATATCTATTTTGCTTGTTAGTTCAGTTCGTTTGTTAGATTCCACATATGAATGAAATCATATGCTACTTGTCTTTATAAACAGTGTTAATATCTCCATAACAAAAGCCCTATTAAAGGATTTGTTGGAAGGTCTTATTTTTCAAAAGTCAATTAATAGTCAAGTTAATAAATGACATTGCTAAGTTCTGAGGATACTCTCAGGAATAAGATAGCCCTGGCCTCCACCTTCAAAGATTTAAGATTACACACACACACACACACACACACATATATACATACAAAAACTAATTGTAGGTTGTGTTTGTAGAGGCTAACTTATCCACTTTTCATACATTTTGGTCATAATTTTGAACCAAAATTACACAAGCTTACACAATATAGCATAGATCCAGGACAACTATAATGAAAATCAACAGATATTTGCAGGGTTTGAGATGAACTTATGATGTTAGACATTTAAATATGTCACTTTACTCATTCACTAGAATTGTTAAAACTAATGCACCATGCAGCTGGGCTGCCAAGCAGTGGGAAGGGATCAGACACACACCTTCCACGGGCCTCAGTTCATTCAGCCCAGACTGCAGAACACACAGGAAGTGGTAACCCAGAGAAAAAGTAGATTCAGCACATCCTTGTTTGGTTTTCCCTTACACATTGGTTCTCTAAGAGGCTGCTACTCTCAGCAACAACTGAGCAGAGAGGGACCTCCTACAACACTATCCTTCTAGACTCAGGATATTGTTACCATGTCAGCTTATACCAACAAACTGGTGATTGTATTTAAATTACTGTTTATAAATTTCAGGCTCATCTGGTTCTGGAACTGATTTCTCTTGGGAAGAGTGCCCTGATAACTCTGAAGAATATTTCTTCCCCTTGGCATGCCAGCATTCCAAAGTCCTGCCTCCCCACAAGTAGCCGCACAGCACACACCACGGACAGGACGCTCTTTCCTTGTATCCTTACGCTTTGTCACTGTAGGCATCGGAAAGCTCCACTGCTTATTTAAACAATTAAGTAGCTTACTTGTGTTTGATGTATACATTTAAATCATCATTAAAGCAGCATGGAAAGTGATGTTGAGCAAACACATTTGGAAAATTGTATTTCAATTAGTATGAAACATTAATAGTTCCCGTTACTCAGTTAACAGAGTGCATACACATTTAACTTAAGAGCAGGGTGTTTCCAACAGATTTTTAAGTCAGAGCCTCCTAATCAGTCCTGTAATACTTTTAATTTCAATTTCAGAGAACTACCTGGTTGATTTGTAAGTCTTTCACATGTTAGGGTTTAATTTTAGGTTAGGTATGAGGTTTGGTCTTTTTCTTCTTCTTCTTCTTTTTTTTTTATTGAGAGGTTCCAAGTTTCTGCTTCCCCCACCCCACTTTTATGTGAAGCGTCAAATAACACTCTCCTGTTTAGGAAAGTAAGGTTAGCCAATGAGAAAATATGGACTCTTGCACAACTCATTCTGAAGAGGCAAAAGAGGGCTGATGTTGGGAGACCAAGTGCATTGCTGCAGAACAGCGTCATCCATGTACGGCCACATTGGGGCAGAAGCCAGGTGTGGAGAGAGTCCAGCCACCCTGCTAGTCTACCAACTTCAGCCACCATGGGAGGCTGCTGTGGCCTTCACTTCCTTTTCTACACCAGAGAATGCCAGGAAAAGATGGAAGAGGATACATAAGTTTTTCTCCTTTTTAGATTCAGATGACAATTTAGCAGGTACCCTTCTAAGTTAAAAGAGAATTTAAAACATATTCAGTATTTAATACTTAGGATGCAATACTGTTTAAGAGAACTCTGGAATCCAAGTCAGATCCCAAAGTCCATGAGCTGAATCACGATGCTACTGTTACCAGACCTGCCATCTTAACGTCTGCCCTGGGAAGACCCATGCCTTGGTCTTCATTACTTCCATTTGAAGTTATCCAGTGTAAGACCAAAAAATTAAAGTCACTCTCTTAGTGTAGTATCTGTCATTCAATAATACAACTATTTGAAAACCACTACATTTAACATAAACATCACATTTCAGGCTAATAAAAAGATTTAAGCCATATAAAACACAAACTAACCTACTGCAAACCAACAAGAATTCCAGGAAAACAAGGCCAAGTATATTGTGTTCATGGGCATTTTTATTTACAAGCAAATGTATCACATAACAATAATGGTGTACATACGATGTGTGACCTTTGGCCAGTCACATGCATTCTTTCAGTGTTAGCTTTCTCATTCATGAAAATACTACTTCCTGCTCTGCATAACATTAAAGAAATAAATGAGATCATGTGTGTGTATGTAAAGCACTCATTTTAAGCTACAAGTTCTTCTAATAAAGAACTTTATTATCAAAAAACATGTTTCTTAGGTATGTATATTTGCTAAGTCAAACAAGAGCCTATCAAGCCAAAATGAGTATTTTATCATTTCTGTTGGCTCATCTAATGTAGCACCATTAGCCATTCATTCCATGAAGACTGATACCATGATTGGTACCATGAAAATATCAAAATTAATAAGGAAAGGCACTTGTCCTCAAGGAACTCACAGCGCTATGCAAGAGTATATGATCTATATACTCTTACCTATTTTTAAGGAGTCTCATAAGAATCAGAAAGGTAAATCATTTCATTTCTTTAGAAAAATGCACACACGTGGATAACAGATTACGACATTCACTGGCTGCGATATGCACTGGCCTCAGGTTAGGAACTCTTGGTCTACAGCACATGGTCCAGATGCAAAGAGAAGCCGTGTTTGAGGGACCTTCAGCCTGGCAGTGCTCTCTTACTACGGGAAAGAGATACCAAAAGCACTAACGTATCTTCAGGCTTCTGGAGGACTCCTGGAAAGAGCACCCGTATGTCTGTGAGAGTCTCTTTCCAGGACAGTGAACAGCAGGCCCCTGTTACATGTTCTTCTAGGAAACTGGGAGCAGGATGGCTGCAAACGGTGGGAGTGGGTCGTGTTCGGAAACTCCTTCATAAAGACTATGAAAACTTGGCTCTGGAAACACACCTATTATCCATAGTTAAGTAAGTGATCTCCCTCTTCCTTTTGAAGGCAAGATTTCCAGTGCGCAGGCAAAATAACCTCTGCTAGCCTGGTTCAGCCTTACTGATTCTACCTGCCCAACACCTGATTCCTGGCCCCCTTCACTTCTGCTGCCCCTGACTATTCTTTCTTTTATCCCCGAGGGCAGAAGGAAAGATTTCTTTTCCCCCCTTATACCTTTTAAGCACAGCTGTTCTCCATGGATCTATTCTTGGTCTTCTCTTTGTAACATTCTTCTCATTCCTGCTGGTAAACTTCTCTCAAAACAAAGATACTCTATTATCCCAATCATTCCCAAGTAAGTAGAATTCTAGCTGCAGATTTATTTTTATCTTAATTTCTGATATGCATTGCAAATCGTTCTTGGTATATTTAGTCTTTGACTCTTGCCAGCACTTCAAATTCAAGGTGGCTCACACAGGACTCTGTCATCAATCAAACTCATTCTTTTTTTTTTTTTTAAACATCAAAATCTTTGACTCCTCTCCATCTCATTTTCCCTATGTTCAATAAACTGTCAACACTTATTCCATACTGCAACCCTGTCACCTCTCCTATCCATCATCCTGTGGCCATTCCCATGGCCATAGTGACAGTCCTTCCCCTTGATACGTTCTCAAGGACTCCACCAGCATCTCTCAGCCATTCTCTGAACACCAGGGTATGGCCCTCTTCAATACAACTTGTGCACAGCCTCCAGGTGAATTGCCTTGGTGGACTGTAATGAACAGGTGTTCCTGTATTTATAAAACCTCCAGATCTCCCTCATGCCTACAGACTAATGCCCAAAACCTTTAGTCTCAAACATAACCTAGTGCACTGTGATCCAGCGTAACTTTCTCCCTGCAACTTCCCTTTATAAATCCTGCAATTCTAACCAGATATCCTTTTGCAATACATATCCCAGCATTTCCCTCTCCTGTTGCTAGATTCCATAGTGTTTTTTCCTGGAACCACTTCAACCTGGTTCCATATGTTCAAGTCCTCACCACTCTTCAAGGTTCTGTTCCACTTCTATTTCCTTCACGAATACCCTTCTGGCTCTTCAGTTCAACAATTTTCCCCTCTCTGAAATCTTGGCACATTTTCATCTCTACCACAGCACATAACACTGCTTTCTTTTACTATAGATACTTCCCCATCATCTCTTTTTCTAGGCTTTTTAAAGGCACTAATGGAAATACACTCATCTTTGTATATCTTAGGATAACCAGATAATTAGAATAAGAACCTAATACATTACACATAATAGGTGCCAAATAAGTACTTGTGGAATTAATATAGCATGAGATGTAAAGGCCCACATGGCTACGTTAGAAGGAACAGCAAAAGGAGCTGTTGCTTCTGAGTTCTGGAGGCTAATTTAATCTGAGCCCAAAGGCAGTACTTCATTTCCATTTTTTATTCCTTTTGATAAAGTGTTTCCTTATTGAGTCTGAGCCTATCTTTCCGGCCTGACAAAGTGGCACTGTCACTGATGCTGGCATAATGCAATGGCTGGACATGGGATGCATTAACAAACAAGTACACCACCTTGAAAAATCACAGAACATGCTACCCAAATGTTACTATATTAACATTAGTCTACAGAATGCCAGGGCCCTACCATTAATCATAACAACGCACTCTAAAATGAGGTACT